TCAAAGTTCGATATAACACTTGAGTTTACGTTGTATATTCAATTGGAATACGTGATTTGTATTAGACACACTATGAGATAACGTGGGTTGTTAATTTACACAAAATGCCTGTTCTACACTGTGTTATTTTCCCATTGGTAATGCACCACCACGTGACATTGAAATGACCATTCTAATGAGTATATTTACCAAAAGCCTCTATACAAATTTACAATAGCTCAGTCGTTAAAGGGATTGACCTCTGTAGTTGACGTCAAACCCCGCTCATGGTCATCTCAATGACTATGTCTGCTCGTCAACCCCAGATGTTAACCGTGACTGCACAGTAAGAATGTTTAACAATCGAGCTAATGATTGAACTCTTGGAGATTCCGAAGGAGACTATCGCAAAATAGACTCAGACTTTTTTATGTCACATACTGCAGACTGCGTCACGGGACGAAAAATCTCATTGCAGAATCTTTTTTATTTTACCATTTTCGTTATGATATGAGTCGGTAATCGATCTTCATTAGTACTTTCATCATTTTTAGATGCTATGATTTGCATAATTATATAAACCAGAGATCAAATAAGCGACAGGGTCAAGAAAACATATAATAGAAACGCCCAATGACATAAATAGGTAGCCTAACAACCAGGAGAAAACCATCTCTGCAATGGCAAATACAGATGTTGCTTTACCAGTCCTTGCTAACGCTGGATCGCACACAGACCCGATTATATCGGTTATATGAGCGCCTAATAAAACTGAACGATTTGTACCACCTTATGCTGCTAGAAGGAAAATGGCAAAATACATCTAATATCAACATAGCCTTTGGTGCCATGCACGCGAAAAATCAGAACTTCCCTAACAATGCCGAATTGCGATAACTAGCAACCTGGGTATTGAAGGTATGCACAAATCCGCCGTATACGCACTCCTATGTTTACGTTACACGTGGTAACGAAACACGTACGTAACACGTGCATAGATATCACAGCTGGTGGTTCATTACGTATGTTCGTCGCCACTCACATTGAGATATGTATGAAATTATTATATTTTCTTTATTTAACAGTTGTTCCCGGGTTTGTGAAGGTGTATATTGAGGCAATGCTGTGTATACTGAGTTTCACTGTTTAATTGATTTACTCGCGAGGCCTTGTAACACAACAAACGCATATTTCGATGTTATACAAACTGTTCTACTTAACTAATGAGTCAACAGTATTACTGTACGCCTGATCAGTTCAGCTACTAAAGTTTAATAAAATAGTTATTATGTCCAATAACATATCATCACATAATATATTCTGTGTCAATAATTACAAGAAATACAGCCTTACCCCAATATATAATTTAAATATAGAATAGTGCTTGGTCGTTGATACCCAAATTGGCAAATATATTAAGATAAATGACTGCCTGTGACAGTGCATCGAATTAATGGAAAAATCTATACTTGCATACATTCGGTAGAATAATGGCCAAGGTAGATGAGATGCCATGCTAGCGCCCTCATTACTAGTCGATGTTTTATAACACGTACATCGCACTCACGAGTTCTGCAAGTATTCACACATGGCAAAGATACACACGATGTACAGTATTATTATTGGTGTATATTTCATGGCTATTGTCAACTTTCTAGAATATATCAGGCCATTAGTTTGCCGCATATCTGCGTAGAAACAACGATGAAGGATAAACATAGATCCCACGAAGATAGAACTTATTCGATAGCCATCGTCACGGCGTTAAATGTTTATTTGAGGTGTGTATGTTATGAAAATTGAGGGCGCATTACTACAGTATGGAGGATGTATAACTCATACATTTGATTCATGAGAATCATGCGTCCTTTTGCTACAATATTGGAATTACATTTCATGAAACAATAACACGCTGATTCTTGACGCTGAGTGATGGGCGATCGCGGGTTATACGCTTGTATCTACTAGTATGTCAGTATGATGATTTATTGACCGTATGTCTCAGGTATACAGACGATATGTATACGCTATCGTGGCATACTGCCAGATCGTCTAACATAGTAAAATTCTCCTGTTGGTGCGTTTTGTAACGATATATAACCATGTCATGGCCACAAGAGGTTATATAAAATCTGCCCTACATGAGTAAAAATTCCAAAAGTGACGTCACTTTGAGAAGAGTCCAACAGACTTGTTGTCACCACGCATGCGTACATACTTAATTCTTTCCTGTTTCCTCTCGCAAATAGAGTTTGCTTTTTATGTTTTCGTAATTGCAATGGGTTTCAAAATATATGTACGCATTTAAGGACGTTTTCCAGAGCTATGTTTGTGCATAGATACCCCTGCTCCAATTCGATTGCCGCGCCCAGAAAATTCGACCATTGACCAAAAGATGTTGGACTTTCAGCTCGGATGTTATCCTTTCAGCATGGAGTTGTGAGTTCGAATACAATATTGTCTAGTACAATAACTACATAATTTTGTATTTTCTATAAATATATGAAGGTCATAAGGTCTCTAAATTTGACACGAGCAGTGACTTTGTATTCATATGACGGGCGGTCAATAT